GCAAAGTGCGGAAAATATGTGAAAATTAATTTTTTAATTTTTCATTTCGCATGCTTGTGGTAATTTTCGTAAATTTTGTCAATAAAGGGGTGAAGCTTATTATAAACACAAAAGCTTCATGACAAACAGCAGTCATATGAAGCCTTTGTATCAATACTCTCTCGAGAATCGATGAAAAAGTATTGGAATTTGAGATGTCTTCCAAGTACGGTGCTTTCTATTCAGTTTTAGCTAAAAGTTCGTGAATTTCTACTTGATGCTCATTTCAGTAAGCCATAAGGATACTAAAGGAATATAACTGAGTCTATCTAAAGCTGTACTTTAGGATCATACCTGTTCTAGTCCAAAAAATTGTCATGGCTTTGGTTCCCCTATAATAGAGTAACACCAGGATAACCTTCTCCTGTATGAAGTATCCTAAGTCAGGCAAGGTTTCGACTTTCTGGCAAGCTGATGCTATTTCCCATCGAGTCATTCAAGTTCAACAACCAGCATCAGCTTTATCCCAAGTAAACTATCCACAATTTGATTTAGAGCTTCACATTATTTGTCCAATCTCAAGCATATAATCCAGCATATAAAATTAATTCTATTTACATTGCCAAAAGTGATTACACAAGCACGATAAAGCAATCACATGCAATCGACGGATGAGATTAATTAAGATGTATAAATATTTTTATTACTTTGACATTTGACAATGCTCCGTACATAACTTGTTTGCTCATAACATTATGCAAATTACAGCAAGTCAATCTATAATTTCCATCAACATTCGTCATCAATCAAATTCAACGATTGAGGAAGAAATGAAATATGAGGGATGTATCTATGTGATTTATAGCACGAACTGAAGGTAGAAACTTTTATGGTAATTATGTTTCATAGCAGATGTTTCCATGGAAATACTCTCATTTGTACGTATGATTGGAACAAAAATGAACAGCATTAATTAAAGGTGGAAATTGTTTGGTAACACTTTGAGTGCTTTACAAGGAAATTGACGAGCTGTGAATGTTAAATTAAATGGAAAGTTTTCGCTCAGGTGAATTATCATGTATCCAGTGTTATGTGCTTCCGCTTCCTTGAATTTTAATGCTCATTATTATTACTTGCATTTAATTTTAATATGTAGCTGTTTACAATGTTTCCGTATGCTTGATTTATGGTAGTGCTGCATAGTTTATGCTATTTTAAATGCTGTCGTAAGTTATTGAACTGCAGTACTATGAGTTAAAATTTAATTTTGAAGTTAAGCCTAGATGGAACTAAGAATCGCATCCATTAAATTGTCACTTAATTACGTCCCTAATTGTTCTCGTCATCAAACAAAAGAGTTCTCTGAAACATTCAGCAGCAAAAAGGATTTTCCGCACAACATTTATGCCTCTCGCTAATTGTCATTTAAAAGGACTTTTCAGCAATGCTGTTGAGCAAATTCTCACTGACCTTTTAAGCATGAAAATGAACATTTTGTTTAAGTGCAAATAAGTCACTAACATAAGGTCTTTTATTATGTCACTAAAGTTTTTTCATAATTTCATTATCCCAAACTGAGAAAAAAGGAACCGACATTACAACTATAAAGTTAAATGATTATAGCCAGCATTTAAAAGAAACAATAAAAAAGGAAAGGCGAGAAAAAGTTTTTTTTTTTTTGAATGGCCTCAAAAGAGATGTAGCAGAATGTTGGTCTGCCTTATCTGAATTTGAATATAGCAATAGAAGTTGATGTAAAGGTCATGAATTTAAGCATGGAAAGAGATGCTTATTTAAAGATTGATCTTTGAAGGCTGCTCACAAAATCATGTCTATGCTAGAATTTACAAAAAGTCTTACGACAATCACATTTAAAGCTTTCTGAATAGTAATAGCAAAAAAGCACATCAGCCACCAGGCAATAAAGCCTTTTCTATTACTTCCTTTTGTGTTCACCCATTGCATAATGTTTAAAAGGAGAAACTTTTATGTAACATCGTCGTCTACACAAGAACATAATTTAATGGTGTTAGCACAAAAAGACAGAAGGAAAATGAATTGAGTAATGATATGAAGTGCTATAAAGGAAGGGAAAGAGATGAGTGGGTAAAAGAAAAATTTTTTTTATGACGTAATAAAACTTTCTCGTGAATCATATTTCCTTATAATGTGTGTAAGATGATATCATGGATGATAAATGGAAGCGAAACTTTTATTTTGCAATTTGAGATTTGCTTCCTTCTTTTCTTCTTCTATTTAAGTTTAAAGCGAATGTTCATGCTTTGTGGAAATTGTTCAAAGCATTTTCAAGTTTGTTGAACATTTTGTGATTATGCAGTCAGAATTCTTTGAGTAGAACTGAATAAAGAAAATAATTTTTGATCAAAAGGAGGTTTGTATTAAGTTTATTACAGTACATCATAATGTGTAATTTTCATAGACTTTTGATGCTGGATGTACTGCTGGATGATTTTAGTCTTATACAGAGCTCGAAGTCAACTCTAGATTTGCATTGATTTTGTATGGCAGAGTCGACTCCTAGTCAACTCGACTCCATACAAAATTTCATCGACTTTGAGCTCTGGTCCTATAAAATCAACTGTGAAGTCCTTTAAGCTTTAAACTTACTGATTAGAGTCGAATCTGACTCAATATCAATAACTGCATATTTCACAGACACGGGTAGTTCATAAATCCTTAATTTAACCTACAATGAGCCTATTCACAATTCGAAAGAGGAAAGAAGTTCTTCAGATGCTGATAATATACTTGTTTACTGAGCAAATAAGTTCCTTCTTGTGCCAATGACTTCAATACTTCACCCAGCATACGAATCAAACTTCGAGGATTGATCATTCAAGTAAACAACGTGTTCCAAACTCATCATAGCCTTGGATTGAACATTGAAACATTAGGACGTTAAATCACAGATTCCAAATGTTCAACCTTATCAAAGCATCATCTAAGATTCTCAAAAATCAAGAAAACCTTGAACAAATTCCAAGAAACTATCTGCAGGGGAAATAAAAGGATAGCACAGATATTTGAGCTTAACAAACGTTTGATATTTGATGATTAAATATTTGAAGAAATTCCTCTTTTTAAATGCTCTAAATCCTTATTGTTATTAAATTTTTGATTCATATCTGCTCGAATAAAAAGGAATTAAGTTTCAAGGAGGAATTCAAAATTGGAAAATGTTTTTCTTCTCCGAAAAAGTAATCTCAATTTTATTATGAAGAATCAGATTAGGAATTTTGACGTTTCTATGTTTATTTCATCTTTTTGTGCTTCTTATTTGGAAATAAAAGCTTTAACAATTTAATTCTGTATTCTAGAAAATTGTTTGAATCTGTTTTATGCTGAATAAATTTCTTTTAATTGAAAACATTTGTTTTTTTTTACAGAGGTGCAAAACTGATCAAAAGTCATTTGATACTGCTTGATTAGAACCTCTAGCCACCTCCAGCCCATCAACAACTAAAGAAGACCTGTTAATTTCGTGAAAAAAGACCATAAAATTTGAAAAAAGTTATTACGCGCCAATAAAGAACTCATTAATTTTAAGTATCATCCTCAATGACCCTCCTCATAACAGCTATGAAATCCTTAAAATTTGATTGCCTTTTTATTACCACTTAAATCCCCCCAAAAAAAACTTCCTTGTTGGAAGCAATCTTTATCAAGCTTTTAATTTTTATGATCAAAAAAAGTCTCGTACAACAAAATAAACTTTTCAACCTTGAAATTCAATCATCTTCCTTCCATTTGCCTTTTTTTTTTGAACCTCACCAATGTCAATCATGTCAAGCATAAATTTGAACTTTTTATGTGTTTTATCGAAAGCAAGCTTCTTTATTCATGAAAATGCTTTTTTTTTGCTCGATGTCGACAGTATCGCAAATAATGCTTTATCATAAATTTTTAACTGGATATGAATAGACGAGAGATCGAAGGAGGGGGGGGGGGGGTGCATATTTTATTGACTCGATTTCGTTGATTCGATGAAAGAATAAATCACGAGGTACATCCCGATTCACACATATAATGCAAAAGCAACCAAAAATGTGAAAACTGATTGTAACCAAGGGTGCGCAACTGATCAATTAGATTTTGATCATGCTTTATTATTTTAATCAGTTTCGCACCCTTGATTTGAACTTTTGAGAAGTGGGATATAGGGCCGTTCAGGGGGGGGGGGGGGGGGGTCAGCAAGAAAAGAACAACAGAAATTCCTGGAAATCCATTATTCTTTTTTGAAAAATGACCGTTAACTTCGGACGTCATAAGTGAACGATCCCTATGCAATTGAACTCTAAACTACGAATAAACTCTCAAATGGCTGACAAAGAAGATCATGTGTCGTTCGGGCTAATAATGTGATATTTTTTAAACCAGAAAAATGCGGTGAACTTTAGCAAGTGTCTTGCCGAGAGACTTTATGTTAAATTTGATTTAAGGATGTATTAAGGAACGATTTCAGCAGCACAACTCAAACTATCATCTAAGACGCTTTAGTGCCTGACTCTAGATAAATGGTTTTATTGTCTTGAAATTATTACGTACTCAAGATGATCTTTATGAGACACTGATTTGCGCTCTCATTGACATCAATTATTGTATGACTTCCTTACTCTTTTTTATATTGTTTCCGTATGATCATGAAAGCAGTGAATGAAAATATTTTTCTATATTCACATCTGGTTCTTAAAATGTGAGTACTTACATGGAAATCAGCTGCTTTTGGTAACTTCTTGTCTTCTTCAATCACTAGCTACTGGATTGCTGACATTGAAATTCTGAAAACATAAAAATTAAAACAATTTCAGAGTATCAGACAATTGTATTCTTACACCTTCAATTGTGATTAGATCCTTCAAATATAGACATGATGTTTAGCTGAAGGAATCGAAGAAGCTTGCTTACTTTAAAGATTTCAATATCTTAAATAAAATTTATTACTGATCAAAGTAACCATTGAATTTAACATTTCAGTGAAATTTCTCATTCATCAAAGATCTTTCAAAGAAACCACATCTTAAGTTCCAAAACTCTTCAATAAATTTTAAAATCAAGTTTGAAAATATGGAATCAATCACATTAATTGAATCGGAAGCTATTAATCAAGAAGGTATGTCATTTAACCATTTAAAAGAACTTTAATATTTTTAAATTTTTCATAGCTGATAATAATCTATTGGAACAAGATTCTGATGCAATGCCTGGAATTCAAATTGACTCAGCTGCATGTGAAATCTGCATGCCATCATTAAGAATAGAACCTTCGAATCAAGAACCTGCTGAAGAAATGCAAGATGCAGTTGCATCAAGACCTACTCGCCGTTCAGCACAAGCACGAAAAGTTACCTCAATGTCTAAAGATGCTTTCTCAATGCCAGCACAACGTAAAAGAAGTCGATCAACTAAAGGCAGTCGTGGATCATCAAAGAGTCCAGCTCCTTCCCATAGTCCAGCTCCTTCTCGTAGTCGAGTTGCTTCTCGTAGTCGAGCTTCATCTAGCAATCGTTCAGCTTCTAAAAGCAAAAAACCAGCTTCTCGTGGATCCAGTCGTTCTCGATCAAAAAGTGCATCTAAGCGCTCAGTCAGTCGTCGTAGAAGACGTACATAAATTGTTGTGAATTATAGCATTTTTGGATATTGAGCTTTGGTAATAAAAATTTGTCTAAATTTACCGTAACTTAATGCTTTTTTAATATTTTGAGAACATCTGCAGGACACTGAAAGTACGAGATGTGAATATAGCAGAAAAAGCTTAGATCCTTTAAAACCAATTCATCCTTTTGTTGATTGCAAAAATGCAATGACATGCAAATGAAAAAAGGAGGAAACATAATTGACTGCTTTCATCGCAATATTTTTATTCTTCTCGCTCGACTCTCGTTTTTTTTTTTTCATTATTTTAGTTTGAGTTGAAACCACGCCGAAAGAAATATTTGTATTTGCTCAATTAAAATGCTGTTTTATTGTTATTATTTTATTGCTATGTGCTTTCCTTGCTCAGTGATAAAATATTAAATTTAACTGGAAATAATTAATGAAAAATATGTAGCTTCGATGCCTCAGGATGTTTGTATTGAAGTTAATTATATTCATACCGATTTGTTTGAAAAAGAAGTTGATGAATTTATGGCGCTTGGTTGGGCTGTTATTTGTATCTAATGCTACTGGATGTTGATCGTTTGTTTAATTTGAAAGTATTTAAAATGTTTGTCTGTGTTTAACAGTTTAGACTTGACATACAGGATAGCTAGATCAGCATTACTATGAAATTCAATCGTTTGTGTCTTCCTTAAAGCAGTCATAATAATAAACTCTTTCTGAAATGCTGGATCTTAATCATTTACTGGATCTTAATATATTATTGGATCCTAATCTCTTTCTGGATCTTAATCACTTTTTGGATCTCTATCATAAAATCTGAATCATAAAAAAAATCCACAAACTTCATCCCAAACCAATCAAAATCATCAATTCCTGCACATTTTCCTTGCAAAACCACAGAAAACAATCAAGCTTGCATGAAATTAAAAATAAAGGAGAAAAGCAAATATCAGACAATCATGATTGTATGCAGGTAATGACTACCTTGCATGTAGACCAAACTTTAAATTGTCTATTGTTCACAATACTCATTTTATGGAATAAAGCATTAAATAATCACAAAAGTCAACAATAAAATGTAATAAAATTCAATTAAAATACATTTAATGCACACAATTACGACAAAATTAAATTATTGCATTGGAATGGCTTAATTATAGCAATTATTTATATACTTTTAAGTTCATGTCATGTTTGCTGTCTGAACAGTTCCCTCTCGACTTAAAATATTCACATTTTTAAACATGATTCAGACTGTAGCTAAAGCTCATCAAACTGACAAGTACTTTCAATTCATTTAATGCCATTTCCTTTTTAACAATTAAAATTAATTGAGAAGCTCCTCATTTCCAGGAGCAATGAAATATTTCCTTACTAAATCATTATTCTCTATTTTTCAATTTTGCCTGCATATTTATGCTATAAATGAAATAAATAAGGTAATAAATAGACTTTACGATAAAGAAACAAATGATGGGATATTACCGAAGTGCTTTTCTTTGGAACGATGTTGACTGGAAAGATTTGAAGCATTCAATTTGTCAGAAACAAAAACATTGAAGCAACAACATCCAAAATTTAATGGAATATTCAATGTTTTAAAGCTCATTTGATGCAGTACAGCTTCTATAGCTGTTTTGGAGGGTTGATCCACAATTATCAATGTTAAGGCAAATAAAAATCAAGCAATGGCAAAAAAATTATTTAAGTAAAAAATCAGCATTTTATTCAACATCCTTTCCATTCCATTACAACTTCAAATCCAGTAAACTCACTGACTATGCCTTACAAGTTCCCTTATCCTGTGCAGAAGGATGATTCATTTGATGATAACAAGCATATTTCTGTTTGATTGTATTCTTGATAGCAGCCATATCAAAGTTTGAAGTATTTGCCTTTGCGCGACTCATAAGGATGAACAAGTTTGGTGGAATTGTGAAATCCTTTAAATCATACTTTAATGAATTTGATGACTTTTGAGGGGATTTGATTTCTAACGATGTACCAAGTGAATAGTTTCCACAAATGTATGCGACTGTGTAGTTTGTATAGTCAGTATCTGCAACAACAAAAAAGTACATATCCGGATTAAATTTTACAAGTTGACAGACTGAAAAAAGATGTTAATGATCAACTTACCAATAACAACATACTGCAAAAAAAAGAAAGAAAATGGTTTGTCAGTTAATCAAGCAGATCATTAAAGGTGCAACTTACTTTCAAGGTCGAATTCATTGGAGCAGTGACGACTTCATTACCAGTAGTTCCATTGGGATATACATTTACTGTAGTAAAAGTCAAATTTGTCAATTTCCATGTAAATACTCCCTGTCCACGATAAGACATAACATCCTTTGACGAAATGGTACTGATTGAAAACTTTGAAGACGTGCTTGCCAAAATATCATTCTTTTTTCCAGTTTCAGTGAGAGTTAAATTCATACAATCTCCTGTATAAGGATTCATTGGCATTAAAGGCTGCATATTGACCATATACCAAGTACCCAAATATTTTGATAACTGGAACTGATCCATTCCGATATCATCTTGACACAAACATTTTGAATAGACATTATTTGCAGCCATTGCTGGTGGCTTTGTGATCTTTTTTGATTGAGGACTTTCCCGAGCGACAATTTGTGGCGATGGCAGTTGTGTGATTGCCTCCAAACTGCCTTGCCTTGAACAAGTCGATTTCAAGGCACTGCTTCATACTGCATTGCCTTGTGGCTACCATACGACTGCCACAAGAACAAATTTTATTCTTCTAAAATTTCTGCCTTGCTAAGGCAGTTACAAGGCTGTCATATGACTGCCACCGATTTCAGCATTGTTGCAACATACTTCACAAGTGCAATCAGAAATGACTAATATAAGTCGAAGAAATGTTTCCATACTTTTCCTAAGATATTTTAAATAATATCTTTTGTGGCATGAAACTTTAACTGATTCGTGCTCCTTTCAAGACTTAAGTCGTGATAAGACTTAAACTTTTGAATCTCATTTTCTTATTAATTATAGTACAAAACCAAATTAGCTAACGAACATTTAATATTCAAAAAATCAAAAATTATAACAGAATTATAACAGATTTTTGCTGCCATAATAACTGCCTTGTAAGCACCACCTCGTCAACACCCAGGCGATTACAAGGCAAGTTGGTCAGAAGTCGGTGGCAGTTTCAAGACAGCCTTGCGCGCGGAAATATGGAGGTCAGGAGTTGCCATCAAGGCGATAAGGCAGTCGTATGGTGATTATTGATTCGCCTTGACTCAAGGTAGTTGGCAGTAGGCAACGACTTATGACCGCCTTATGGCTGCAATGGAGCAGATAAATGTCGCTCGGGTTTCAGTGGATTGTTTGGATTGAGAATCTGTTCGACCTGATGGTGGCGCTGCAACACCTGCTTTAGCTTTTGGTTTATCACTTTTTGCTTTTTTATTGCCAGTAACTTTTGGAGTTTTAGCTTTTTCCTTTTTTGCAGTTGATTCAGTACTCTGTGAAAGAACTGCCACGATGGCAGTTACAAATATCAAAAGTATCCAAAATTTCATGGCTGATATTAATGTTGTGAATTTTCTATGACGAAGTAAAGAGTTTCGGATTTGGTTTGAGTATTTATAGGCAAATTTGTGAGGCAGGAAATGCTTTTGTTGTTAACATGTAGACTGAAAATCGTAGTTTTGTGCTGAATTTTTTTTATGAGACTGGAAATCACACAAAAGTTCAGATTGACCAGAATAAAATTTAAAAGTTTAAAGACACAACTGACGTGGTTTTTGACAGATATGTGTGAACAGAGACAAGGTTCAACCTCTGATCCCGAAAAAACATCGAATTTTGATTTCAAAGTAGTCACGGTAGGCTCTCTTGATTCTCTAGGATCTTCTTGGTTCCACTTATGTCCCCTAATGTTGGAACATACGAGCAAACAGCTTCAAGATTAAAAAATAATTAAGAGTTTTATTAAATTCTTCTAAATCTTAAAAGTGAGTATTGAAATCAGCGATTCTCAAGCATTTTAAAGCTTGACAAAAAAAAAGACATTGCCGATCAACCAGTGTACCAAAGTCAAAACTTTGAGAAGCACTGACCAAAATACTAATCGTAAAAAATAATTTGAACATTTATGTCCTTAAACTTAGCATTTACAACTTTGATTCCGTCGTTGAGTTCAACAAATCCATAATTTCTGTCATCGATGTCTCGAATGCATCATAAAACTTTTTACCAGATGTCACATCACTCTCTTTATAAGTCGTTACGATAATCCAAATACGATTTTCAAGCATAGTATAAAATGTTCCATATCCATCCTTCAACATCGGTGCCACAAATCCAATATTAATGAAATATCCAAGAGTCGATGTGGATAGAATGAAATTTCCACCTCCACCTGATTTTTGAAATAATGGATCGTTGTAAAGTTCTGGTATTGGCATTTGATTTTCGAGAGCTAAGCATGAAAGCGCAAAGAGATGTCGATCAACTCCTTTTCCTTGTTTTGCAGCATTCATTAGTTTGTGTTGAGAGTTTGCAGCACGTCGGAAATATTTTGCCTTTTCAGCTGACTGGAAGGTTAAATTATTACTTTAGATTCAAACTCTGAATATCTCAAAGATTCAATCACTTACCGTAGCTTTTTCATCAAACCAATTGTCAATCCATTCCATTACTTCAATAGAACATGATCGAACAGTTTCAGTCCTTCCATGATAGTAATTCCTCATAGTTGCAGTTTCATAAGTCGATGCAAGGTTGCCGTGTAACTTAAAATAAGTAAGTTGAAGTGCCATTTGAACATAGCAGTCAGGATGAAGCTTTTGATCCTTCATAGCATTTTTACCGTAACTTTTGTACTCTCCATAATGTACAGTCACAATATTTTGGACTGAATCCTTCCATTTTTCAAGCCTATCAATTTCACTCTGAACTTTATCATCAACTTTAAATTCAATCTCTTTAGGAATAATCTGCAGCTTCAATTTCTCATTCCAATCTGGTTCGGGATCGTCCATCAAATTCATCAAAATGTAAGGCGAGAAGCTTAATGCTCCGTCGTAACATGAATGCTCGCCAACAAAACCAAAAAGACCATTTCTAAATGCAACTAATGTTGAAGATTTATCATGCCAACGCGAATGAATGTCACCGTCAATAGTTTTTTGTGAGAGCTCTGAAATGTCAGATGGTTCCGAGACATCAAATGATAAAGCGATAATTGATGACTCAATGATTTTAAAATAATGTTCATTCTCTTTCGATAGTTCCATTAAATGTCGTCGATTTTTTGACCATGCTGTTCGGTCATCACTTGTTAAAATTGGAATTCCCATGTTGTTCTTCTCATCATTGATTTTTCCATAAATTATTGAAAGCGTATGGTGCAGTTCTTGTGGAGTCATCAATTTTTCATCATAAATCACGTCAAAATAGAAAATACGTCCATTTCCAATAACTACAATGTGTGATGGACATGATTGTTCGGACTTTAGTTTAAAATAACAAGAAATTTCATCTTTGAAGTCTCCAGGAATTCGTGATGTGTTGTACATCCTCTTAAATTGATTCGATGAAAAATACGTCTTTCCATCTGCACTTGTTCCCGCTCGGAGCTTTTCATGTCTTATTAAATTCCAAAACTCTAAGGAATAATAAACGATTCTTGAGAAATTTCTCAACAAATTTCCTTTCGTTGTTTTGATGCCTGTATATGATGTCAAAAGTGGCTGCGACATAACGCAATATGGAGCTAATGGAACTCTGGTTGTGAGATAAGCATAATCTTCCCAGTATTTTTCAACCTAAAATTAGACTCATTACTTTAAGCTTTTCGTGACACACTTAAATATTTAAGCGATTAGCAAGATTGATTTAGCACTGATCTAGAGCTTCTGGTCTAGATCTTTAGGTACCTGTGACTAGATTCTTAACTTAGAACTTGGTTAAACAAGGACAGTCTTACAGATTCCTGTTTAATCACAATCTTTAACAACAGATTTAAGTTCTAGCTACAAGTCTAGTCACAGGTAATCCATACCACATACCCAATTCTTCTCTTTTGATGCTTTATCTTGTAGCATCTTTTGGAGCTTCTTCCCATTTCCATTTTTGAATTTATTGATGATTTTTTCAGTATTTTTCAATTCATTTTCGTCACTCGCAAACGGAATTAAGCTTTTATAATATCTCTGCAAGGTATCGTCTAAACTTGGCAGTGGTAAATTGTCTAAATTTTCATCAAAATGGAATGTCGATGGACCACCCTCATTCTGAATGAAAATGTTTTTTTGAGCCATAACTATATGCTTGATAAGTCAGTATAAACTTCTCAGCTGTACAATTTTATGTATATAGACCAAAGTTCAATGGAATTTAAATTTTTTTCCTTTTATAACTACAAGCTGACAACTGCTTTCTTTGGATTGTCACATACTACTGAACTTTAATAAAGCAACTCCATAAACAGTTATTATCGATACGATTAGTATTGCAATTTTCGATAATGTCTGTGATGTCTAATCTTGATCGCGTGAGATCAAAATTCAAACTGTGTTGGAGGTAGAGGTTTATAAACAAGCTTGAGATAACGACCGAAACAAAATTTTTGATAATTCATTCATTATCAATCGAATATTTTTAAGTCCATAATTACTGTGGGTTAATATTAGTAAACAATGACAAAGATCAGTTTAATTGACAAATAAACAGTCTTTATTGCATGGTCAATTACATAAAGGAATTACATGATTGATTTTGAATATAAAAAGAACTATTGGAACTACATAAAGGTATATAAAATATATTATATTTATTCCATCACCAGAATTTGTTCTGTGCAGAGCTGCTTGTAAGTTGACTTTCAAGGTTTTCAACCTAGATCTAGGTCTGATCTAGATCTATATATCATCTAGATCTAGATATCATCTAGATCTAGATCTAGATATCAGTTTATAGGAACTGATAGGAACTAGCTAAGCAAATTCTCAAGAACAGGCAAGTAATAGCTCAAAAGATAAGCTAAAAGTTGTTGGAGAATTTGCACTGCTTTGATTTTAACCAATCAGCAAGCAGCTCTGATATTAAGACATAAAACTTATAATTTACTTGGCGATGCATTTTCCAACACATCCTTAATCTCTTGCATTGAACTTTCGAACGAATCCAAAAATTTCTTAGCTGACGTGACTTCACTGTCACGATAAGCTGTGATGATGATCCAAACACTATCATCGAGCATGGAATAGAATACTCCATATCCATCAAGAACCATAGGAGCAACAAAACCAACATTTATTGTGTATCCTAATGTTGAGGTAGATAAGACAAAATTTCCACCTCCGCCTGATTTAGCATAGAGTGGGTCGCTATAGAATGATGGAATTTCCATTTTATTTTCATATGCCAAACACCAAAGGGCAAATAGGTGTCGATCAAATCCTTTGCCTTTTCTTGCTTCATTCATTAGTCTGTGCTGTGAATTGGCAGCTTCTCTAAAGAACTTTGCCTTTTCAGCTGACTGAAAAGAGCATTTTTGATTAGACTTGATATAATTGAAAGGAAGTCAATTAATACTTACGGTAGACTTGTTATCGAACCACTTGTCAAGCCAATCTTTAACTTCGATTGAACATGAACGAACAGTTTCAGTCCTTCCATGGTAATAGACTCTCATTGTGGCTGTTTCATAAGTTGGAGCAAGTTTTCCATGCATTTTATAGTAAGCAAGTTGAAGAGCCATTTGAACATAGCAATCAGGATGAATTTTGTGATCTTTCATGATTTTCTTGCCGTAGCCTTCATATTGATGACAAACAGCAGTGACTGAAGTTTTAATTCCTTCTAAAAATTGTTCTACTCTAATTATTTCACTTCTTAACTGATCGTCAAGTTCGAATGCAGCTTCTTTAGGAATGATTTTAAGTTTAGGATCTTCTGTCCAGTCAGGTTCTTGTTCTTCCATTAAGCTTAGTAAAATAAATGTTGAAAATGCAATAGAAATAGTTCCATCATATGCTGAATGTTCCCCAATACATCCAAACTTGCCGTTCTTAAAAGAAACCATAGAGGATGCTTTGTCAAGCCATCGTGAATGATAGTCTCCACAAAGTGTGTAGTATGACGTGTCAGAATAATTGATTGGCTCTTCATCCTCCATACAGAAAGTCATTGCAGCTGATTCAATTATTTTTAAATACTCTGCATTGTCTTTGGAGAGTTCTTTGAGGTAATTACGATTCTTAGCCCAACTTGTTCGTTCATCACCTGTTAAAATTGGAATTCCTTTTTCTAAATCTTCATTATCAACTCTATCACGGATCATTGAAAATATATAAAGGAACTCTTGAGGCGAAATAGTTGTTCCATTTGCAATAAAATCGAAGTAAAACACACGACCTTTAGACACAACAATGGCAATAGATGGACATTCACCTTCGCTTTCTGTTTTGAAATATTCGTCTACTCTATCCATTGTTTCACCTGGTACACGACATGTATTGTACAATCTACGATAAAGGTTCGATGAGAATGTCACACTTCCATCTGGATTAGTCGGTGGTCGAAGTCGTTCTGTTCTAATCAATTCCCAGAATTTTCCTGAATGATAAGCAATCACAGCGCTAGCTTTTAATCTATTACTTCTGCTTTCTTCAACACCAACTGACTCAACAATCAATGGCTGTGCCATAATGCAGAATGGAGATAGCGGGAATCTTAGTTCATGATAAGCAAAATCTTCCCAATACCTTTCAACCTTGAAATTAAAAATATGACATTAGTCAATGACCTAATTATTTAACAACCGTTCAAAGGTCTATTTACCCAGTTTCTCTCCTTAGAAGCCTTATCTTCAAGCATTTTATGTAATTTCTTCCCAATTCCATTTTTAAACTCCTCAATTTCTTTTCTGGAGTTCTCTAATTCACTCTTATCACCAAACGGAAGTAAATTTCGATAGTATCTTTCCAAAGACTCTTCTAATTTAGGCAATGGTAGCTTTTCTAAGCTCTCGTCACGCGAAAATGTTGGTGGAGCATCTTCAGGAAGGAAATAAAACTTTTCTCGACTCATTTTACACAGAATAACTTAAGGAATGAAGTTTCTACGTGTTTTTTGAGTTTAATGGTCAAAGATCAGTTTATTATTGTTTCTATGGATGTGTTTATAAAAACATTGGGCTGTCAATTTTTGTAACGTTTTGTGGACGGGATCTTTACTAGTAATCCGGTGGAATGTTTTTCTTTGAATAATGGCTTAACAAAGCATTGATTCAACTAGCTTGATAGCAATATCAGTTTATATAAGCATGATTGTTAAGCCATAATTGATCAGTTAATAAATCAATGCCTTAATATCCTTTAATTGAGAAAAAATTCGAATCTCAATGTTGCCTGATGTAAACTCAATGTTGCCTGATGAATGTTTTCAATTTAAAGTCAGGAATAATAACTTAAAATACAATATTTCAAAGGTAATTGAATCCAGCGATAAGATTGTGAAGTGCATTTGCTGATTATAACAACAATACAACGTAAATATAAATTAGAATTGAATTGTCATTCAGTGCTTATTAATCTTTTCCTCATTTCATATCTATTTTCAGAATGTTGCAGTTAAGGAATCAGCTATTAAAAACCTCCAGAGCTCTATCAAAGCTACAGAATAGCTCTTCAAGATGTATGAGTGACGATAAAAAGAAAGACTCAATATGGCAGAATGATTCAGATCCAAATTTCGAGAATCCGTTTAAAAGATCCGGAAGGATTTTAAGGAACGACTTGATTAGAGCTAAAAATTGGGTAGGTGATCTTTTTACAGACGATTCAAAACCAAAGAAATATACAATGCCATTAGACAAACTTGATGCATTTATTGAGAACCGAGAGGATATTCGATTATTTCAAACGCATTGTGATGTGCTGATTATTGGAGGTGGCGGAATGGGATCAGCTATTGCTTATTATCTAAAACAAAAGGCTCAACATGGACTTAATGTCGTTGTCCTTGAAAAAGATCCAACATATTCACAAGCATCCACTCCATTATCAGTCGGTGGACTTCGTCAGCAATTTTCACTTCCAGAAAACATCCAGATGTCACTTTATGGTGCTGATTTTATCAGAAGATCAAAAGAAATCTTAGGTGAGGATGTTGATCTTAATTTCCAACCTAATGGATATTTAATGCTGGCAACAGAAGAAGGTGCAGAAACACTAAAACAAAATTCACGTCTTCAAAATGAACTTGGTGCTAGAAATGAGATATTAACAGCAAAAAGATTAAAAGAGAAATTTCCATGGCTTAGTACAGAAGGAATAGCTTTAGGATGTCATGGACTAGAAAAGGAAGGCTGGTTCGATCCATGGGCTCTACTTTGTGGCTTAAAACGAAAAGCAATCCAGCTTGGTGCACATTATGTAAAAGGTGAAGCTGTAGGATTTGAATTTAAGCAACAACGTGAAATGTATGTTGAAGGTGTTGAATTTGGAAAGTATGAAAGTGTTGATCGAGTTTTAGCAAAGCTTCCAAACGGTGAAATTCAAGAAATCAAATTTGCACTTTGTGTCATTGCCGGTGGTCATCATTCAGGCAAAATAGCTGAAATGGCTAGAATAGGAACAGGTCCAGGAATGTTGAGTGTTCCACTTCCAATAGAACCAAGAAAACGCTACGTTTATGTCTTTGAATGTGATGAGAAGAAGCACATTGGTGCACAGCTGAACACGCCATTAGTTATAGATCCATCAAATGTATATTTCCGAAGAGAAGGGCTTTCTGGATGTTATATCGGAGGTCGATCACCTGAAAGTATAGATAAGGAACCTCCAATTGACAATTTAGACGTAGACTATAATTATTTTGATACTGATGTTTGGCCACATTTAGCAAATCGAGTTCCCAAATTTGAAGGAATCAAAGTAAAGTCAGGCTGGGCTGGATATTATGAGTATAATCGATTTGACGAGAATGGAATTATTGGACTTCATCCTTATTATCATAATTTGTATATAGCAAGTGGATTTAGTGGACATGGTAAGTAATGCTTAAAAACCTTTCAAATGTTTTCATATTATTCAAAACCTTACAACAGCTTTGCTAAACTGAACATTTGTGATGTTCTATAACACAATAATCACGTATCATTCCTCTATTTTTAGGCATTCAACAGTGTCCAGCAGTAGGAAGAGCAATCGCAGAACTTATAGTTGATGGTGGATATCTAGAAATTGACCTGACGCGATTAGGATTCGATAGATTAATTGTAGATCAACCGATGAGGGAGAACAATATTGTGTAAATATTCTGTGCATGTAGGTAGCATGCATTAACTAATAAAATAAGCTTTTAATATAATTTCAAAGTGATTATTCTTTATTCAATGAATAATTATTTGCACAAGTTTTGAGTTACTCTCATTTAAACTGTCCTGGCTGAGCAAAGATTGAATTGTTCTTGCTAGCAGCTCTTGACGGACTGAATCCGAGAATTTTCTGGACATTTTGTCGAATAGACATCGTACAGAGAATATAAAGGAAGATGAAGGAACATTCGGTGAAGTCACTTCCTGGTAAATTTCTATGTGACAAGCCTTGGATGAATGAGATCGGTACAAATGGTAAGCGTGCTACAACTTTGGCATCAAAAATGCTATTGAACATAGACAGTAAAGCCGTAAAAGCAAATCCAGTCGCGAACCTAAAAGTAAATAATATGTAAATTAGGCCAAATTCATTAGCATGATTAACATCCAGTTGGAAGTTGGAAATGTTAACATTACACGTATTTTATGACTATTATGTAGCTCTTATCGATAATAAACGATGATTTGAGGTACATTTCTCTCAGAAAACCTTGAGATAAGCATGATAAGTAGGCAACTTACATAGATTTCATTTTGACAAGTGACAGGTCACGATTGTTGTTTTTGAGCCTCTCTTCATCACGTTCAAGCTTCTTTTTCTGCTGTTTATCAATTGCTTCACCTAGAACTTCCTTTTTCTTTTCTAATTTCTTCGTTTGCTTCTCAATTTCAGCCTTTAATTTTTTGTATTTTTCTGTCCTATATACCAGCAAATAGGTCATTCCTTCACCGAGAAATGCCGTGAACAGTGATATTCCAACAATAAATAGTGCATCTATTTGAAGAGACATCCTTAAAACACTAGAAATTAGATAATTTAATTCAATTAAATTTTAAGTCCAAATATGAAGGGAGATAACGACTTTCATGAAAAATGAATTTGTGAAATTACAAAATCATACCCCTTTGAATTCAAATAAAATTTAACCGTAATTCACCAATTTAAACAAGTTAATCATCATGTATTAAATAGCTTAATAAACAACATTCAAAATTATGAAATAATCTTAGCAATTTAAGATCTTATAATTTAAAACAAATTTTTTTAATAATTTGAAAATTTGTCAAATTGAAACAAAAGTTTTAAATTAAAAGTGAAATTTGGTGAGCCGTAAAGGAACCAGAATGAACCAGGATACAATTGAAGCAATGCGAGTCTCAAAAAGTGATGCAAAATGTGATGGGTGGGTGCTTTTATCTGACTGAATGTCAATAAAGTGTAACGTTTTTCAAAATTTCAAATCAAAAAGTATTTGGAACAGGATTGGACACTTGAGAACTAGTAATATCAAAATCATTAATTAATTGATTTTCTCAAGAACCAAGAAGCTACAACTGCTAGTATTCTCCATAAATATTAATTGAATTATCAAAAACCAGATACTATTATCAGTTTGTCAATTTAAGGGGCATTAAAAGGTGATGTCAAAAAAAGATCAAGTAGTGTCACATCCTTAAAGTTATTCAGTCAGTGTATTTCGAGGAGTAAACAGTGAATGAATCAGCTTCACAATTTTTCCAAAAATTTAATCAATTTTTAAAGCATTTTAAGTCAAAAGTTGGCAGTAATTTCGTCACAACTACATTGTTTAGTATCCAAAAAGTCATTTAAAGTCAAAGTTATATCCATTTTAGTCCAGTAAAGCAGTAAAATTTTAGTGAAAAAAAAATTTTTGAAGCTGGTTCATCGAAAAAAGTCCAGAAAGAGAGAAAACGCAATAAGAAGAAGAAAAGAGAGCAAAAAAAAGCAAAAAGAGCATAAAACGGAAAGGAAAGTCGATTATTCAGAAATTATTTGGATGTCAAGCAAACAACAAGCTACAGATCGTAATTGTGCTATATATTTTAGCCTGCTTGTTATAAATTTGTGAGAAAAAAAAGGAAGTAATTGAGTGAATTCAAGGGCAATTTAATTAAAGTGAAAAAAAATATCGAGCATCCAAGAAAGTGAAAAAAGAAGATAATAAGGAAAAAATATCGATTTAAAATTCATAAAAAGCAGTAAAAAGTGGCTAAATGCATCAAATCTCTTTGTTCCAAGTTAATAGTGAAAATACTTTAAGTAAAAATTGTTAAAAAAGTGAAGAATCCAGCAAAAGATCCAGTTACAATTCAAGGCGGATTACGACAAGTGAAATTTTCTAAAATTTTGCTTTATTCAAGTTCTCAAACAACAATTAACCAATATATGGATATTGTCCTGGTAAGTCAAATAAGTATTTCTATTCTTAATACTTTTAAGGCATGAATAATTTAGCATTTACCTGCTCTTCCTCCTTGACTCAATAAATCATTAAGTGTGCAAAAATTGCTGTAATTTGAAGAGCTATTAGACATACAGTGAGAAAAAATTGTGAACCTTGAAAGACTCTTTGACTGTCGTCACTCGAGCAATTCTAGACGGAAAACGTGCATGTCTGAAAAATTGATTTATATGCAAAAATGTCGCGAAAAAAGAAATTTTAGTTCCAATTCCGCTGCATTAAGATATAGTTTGTGACTTGTGAGAACTTATTGTGCTGCTTTTAATGCATAAAGTGGGTCATTAAGAATGTAAAAAATTGTGCTTGTAATGCGGAAACTTTTGTGGATTTACCTCAATTCTTGTTCCTTTATCTCAGACTCTCTTTTATTTATTTTATCAGTATGAAGTAATGAAAAGCAAGGAAGTATTTGTTAGACAGTCAATTCGATGATAATATTTCTTCATATGTATTTTGCGATTACACAAACATTGAACGACTAGCTATATGCTATATAGAGAAATGAAAAAATTCAATATCAAAAGTCGTCTCACGTTACGTAAAAATAATTTATATTTGCCTCCATCGCCCTGTGCTGTGAATTTGTCAAGAGAGAAGCAATTTTCGAGATTCTTAAACTTACATCCAACTAGCTTAATTAAACGTTTTTTGTAGAGCACAACCAGACATTTTGACATGAATTTCAAGCATCTCTTAAGCTTTTTGCAACAAAATAATAGAAAGAAATGTAGTTAAAGTATGTGTGGCTATTCGGGTGTGTTTTTATATAGCTTTTCCTCTTCTTACAATTTCAAATTGCCGGAGTTTATGTGTTGAATTTTTCATATGGTTCTGCCGTGCATACATAAAATGTATCATTTACTGTTCAATAGAACTATTTTTGCATGGCAACAAAGCTCATTATGTCTAATTAGGCGTTAAGTCGAGGATTTTTGGCAATGGGCATGCGATAGTTCAGTGTCTGATGAACTTTGTGCTGTGGAACTTGGCTGTAAACTAAAACAAAAAACTTGAGACTTGTCAGTCACAACACCTAGTTGCTATATCCATAAATAAATAATCATATCCAAATGGGTGCCACAAATCGAAAAATGTTCAGCAGACACTGCCAACACTTAATTACAATCATGAAGAGCCGTTGAAATGATGTCACTAAACGGAGCTTCATTTTTGGATATCGAATATTCACAAATAACATTTCTCCTTGAATGGTGCATGAGCCATAAAAAATATCGAAATAATTTCTGTTTAATCAATTCCAATCATCCTCAACTCATGACTTAAAAAACGGTGATAGATAGATGATTGATACGGAAAGCATTTGAAAAGTACAAAAGCATTTATTTCTCATTGTTTTGGCTTCATGGCTGAAGAGAACAATATTTTTTTACGTCAATTGCGTATGACATAATGTTATGCCAAAGGTCATATTGATGCTTATTATCAATAAATGACTTTTGAAAATTTTTCTTTAGACTTAAATATCGCACATGACGTCAGCCTGCCTCAAAACAACTGAAAAAATCTATTTTTTTTTTTCATCCACACAAGTATGGAAATTAAATACACTCAGAGATGCTAATTAGATTCATATGAATGAATGAAAAGCAACAGATACTTAAACCGCACAAAAAAAAAGATTCTAACGCTTGTTGATAGCTTGTCGCGTATTATTCTTGAATGAACATGTTCTGACGCGAATTCTTTTTTTTTTGCTCTTAACACACGCGATTTTAACTAATTCTTGATTCTATGCATATATTAACTGAATTCTCAGACGATAATTTAACGTTGACTGTTCCAGTCGTTTCTCGTTTTGTCGTTGTTTGTCTTGCCAGGGATCGAATTGTGACGCAAATCTAATTAAATTTTCATGCCTTCTGCTTTTTCGCACGATTTGATGTATTGTTTAAAATACTTGAAAGTTCTAAATATCTAGCTAGTCCGTCTAAAATAGGATTTTTAAGCCATACTCAACAGGAACATTGAATTGTCACTAAAGATCAAACCAAGCCTCATACTCCTCCCTGTAGCGCATGTCAAACGTCTCAATCGCTTTAAAATCTACCAAAAAACTCATATCAAGCCACAGCAAAGCAGTGTAATGAAGAAGACACGATATAAAGAAGAAGAACTCATTTGCGAACAGCCGAAAAAGAAAATAAGAAGTAGTAAAAAATTGGAAAGGAAACGACTGACTGAGACAAGAACAATGTGTGGTTGTGCGAGACTGAAAGAGGTGAATGGCATCAAACTCTCAGGGATATAGTACGGACAACAAGAAAGAGAAGACAAACATCTTTTTCTTATTTTTTTTTGTAGATTCTTTCTTTCAATAAGATTGAAATTTCAATATGAGAAATGAATCTTACAGACATCGGAAAGTCTTTTTTTTTTGAGCAGGGAGAAAATAATAAGATCAAGCACTTCACATAGATAATCTCCATCAATTGCTTCTCTTCTTTGCGTCTGTTTTAAAAACATATTTTGAGATCGCTTCAACAAAGTATAAACACTACAGCTGACTGACTGAATTGTGATCTGTTGGCTTTATATGTCAAGACTTTGAGATTGGATTTATTTTCATCCTAAAATGCTTTCTGTTGCTGTTTGGAAAGACTGCTAGGTAAAAGTGGAATGAGACATTTCAATGGAACCTTTGAGATTAAATGAAACTTGAGTTGCTAACGAATTATTGAGATTTGAAAACAAACGGTATTTTAGAATTAAAATTTTATGGCAAATGAAACGAACTTTCAAAATTTAAATTACATAGCAAATTTAACCGACTGAATTTTATAGCATCCTCAAAGTATTCATAACTTACAAAATGCTTTACATTCCATCTTTAAAGTTCTAATAAAGCATACTGCTTATTTTTCGGCAATGAATTTGGCTTTATGGGAATATAATAACCTCAAGATTCTCTCAACCGTCTGACAATGTTCAAGTGATCTCGTTCTAATTGAGTGTGCTGTAGAAAAATTCATTGAAATACGGTTCTTGATCCCCCTTTTGCAATCACGGTTGAAAAATAATACAAAAGCAACAGCATACAGTGGAATGAAATGAGACAGAAAAATAAGAAGAAGAACCAGACATTATTCATCATTGTTTAAGATTTATTTAGGTTATGAACAGGGCGAAACAATTTTTAAACTCTGCGATAAATTTCATTCCATTCGAAGGTTTCCACATATATGCTTGAGTTGCATGTGCCTTAGTAACATTTAATGAGTATCATGACGGAGCTTTAAGAATGTTGTTTTTGTTTACCCTTAAATTAATTAGATTGAATCACGAGTTAAGCTAATGTCATGATGATTGTTTTGTCTCCTTCAATAGCCGGCGCATTGCTCCGTCTCGGATACATTTTCATTTAAAATAAACAGAATTTCTAGTGAACGTAAACAAAAACCTGATCCCTTCCTTGTTGCTTATTTCTCTAGTAATTGCTAAACTCCTTTTGTAACATAATAATGAATGTGAACCTCGCCAGACTCATATGACTGAATCATTGTTATTCTGCTAATTTTAGCTCATTCTGAAGGTTTGTCGCTGTGCATGGATGGATGCAAACGATAAAGTAAATTGCATTGAGACTTTAAAGTTATAAGACCTTACTGGAAAGTCACATACAACCAATTGCTCATTATTGCTTCAAGAAAAATAATGGTTGAAGTCTTTTATGTGTGTCCGAGGTCAAGAAAAATGAATTTCATAATGCATTGGACAAGTTTTTATTCTCTTTCTCTCATCCTGCAGTGCTTGTGCATTTTTTTTTCATTTCTGTATGTGCAATTGCAGCTCTACACTCCTCTATAAATTCTCGTCTCATAGTTCTTTGTATATCCACAAGATTTTTTCTGTTTTATTACATCCATTTCATGAGCTTAAAAGTGGGTCAGTTGGAAAATCGTATCTCCTTTTTATATAGAACACCATCAATCTACTCCATAATTCTTTTTTCTGTTCACTATACTCAAAATCATTAAAAAAACTAAGCTTATTCAGTGAAGCGCATAATATACACGGTGTGGAGTGTTTCAGAGGAAATTCCATTGAATATTATTTTTATTCTCTCAGTTTCTCTTGCCTCGTCTGCATTTATGCATTAACTGAAAAAATTCTGTATATGATCAGAAATTGTGATCGTACTCGTTAAAAAAAATCTAATTTCATTGCTATTAAAAACTTTTTCAGTAATTTTTGTAAGAGAATAATAAGTGATGGTCCAGAGTTTAGTAGGGATATATAAAATTTTTGAATTTCGGCTGACTTAAAGCCAAGGCTTGTTGCTATATTAACTAGAAATGAAGCTTGCCTTACTTTGTAATTCAACTTTGCTTTAGGATAAGCTTAATGAGCCCTTCCTCATTTATTTCATGCTCAGCTAAAGAACCTAAAGCTTCTAGATCTGTACAGCCAGTGAATTGCACTAATTTCGTTTCAAAAATTCGATTTAATTCTGACTCTAATTCGTTCAAAAGACCTCGCCTTGAAGTGTCAACTTTAAGCTTTAGTATCTCAGAATTATGAACTCATAAGTGCAGCTAAACTTAATTAACTGCAAACTTTTAATATGTTCATCACACTTTCAACTGTGAAAGTGAAGCAAATTTGCGGAAAATTATTTCATTTTGCTGTTTTTTTTTTCCATCGTTATGCATCAGCAATATTTTAAAATTAAATAAGAGACGAGTAATGAATAAGCATCAGCAGCAAAAAGAAAGTTACTTTTTTTATGACACATGCACATTTAGTCTGATTTCAATGAATTATTTGCTTCCTACCCCTTTTAACTCGCATTTACTTTTAAGCTCATTGAGAAAATGATTCAAATTTATATTAAAAATAAAACATTTTATGTCAAGATGTCTTCAACATGCTTTCCACTTTGATGTGAAGAAAGGAAGAATTATTTTTTAATGGTCGGTTA